CCATTGCGAGCTCAATCCCATTGAGCTCATATGGGCAGAGGTTAAAAATTATATAGCTACGCACAATACAACTTTTAAATTTTGTGACCTCAAAGGACTTTTCAAAGAAGCACTAGAATTAATAACAGCGCAAAAATGGGAAAACTGTATTAAGCACGTGAAAGACAAAGTTGAAAAGAGAATGTGGGAACTGGACAATATTTTAGAGGAACAAGTCGAGCCATTCATTATTGACGTTGGTGCTTCAGGCAGCAGCGATGATGAAAGCTCATCAAGCTCATCTTTCCAATAAAAGATGTCGTTCATCAAATTCGGTAAGTTATAAGTAATTATAGAGCTACTGTATTTTTTAATTAATTATTGACATTTTTGAACCCATTTTGGCAAAACCTATTCAAGAATCTACTTTCTGACAATGTTCAACCATGCACATTTTTTTACGTTTTGAACGTTTTAATTTGGTTACATATTTACCTAGAAATCAAAAAATATACTAATCAATATTCTAAAAGCAATTTTAAGAGATATACGATTATTTTTAATTTAGGCTAATTTAAACGCCATTTTGAGATTATATTCGACGTTCACCAAACATCAGGCGGCATCCGAAGCTGGAAATCGAAGCGAAAATTTTGAAACCCTTAGGTATATTTACATCATTATATATTTCTTACCCCACCCCCACATGATCCTATATCCATCACCAATCGTATACACATCGAATTGTGCTAATTTACTACAAAGTTACGCAAAGCAGCATCTACTATCTAAAATATGTACTGCGTGACTCTTAATACGTCCCTGCCGAATGTTACAGCGTTCGATGATCACGTGGTCCTGTTTATGTCCGGTCTATCTCTTATCTGAATATACTGTACAATGCTTATGTACGTCAGGAAATTGAAAACGCTATTCAATTAAAATAGCATACCGATCACTTATTATGATACACACTGAATGTCCCATTAATTTTGATGCATCTTGAGCCCGATAGACATCATTTTATTTGTCAGTTCCGGCAGGTATTTATATATATTTGTCGTTGTGAAGGCGGAAGCTGCTTCAGGTATGCTACAAACTTGTTCCTTGTTCCGGAAAGTTTCAAATGGTTTTCGGGATAGTTTAGGAGATATATGGATATGCGCTGGTGTTGTGCCTTGTAATTTCGTAGAGACTGTGGAGCGGTTATTTCTGGTGGATGAACTCAGTTTCAGATACATGACTATAAAATTTTACAATGAGTTACCGAGCAATTTCAGAAAGTTGATAAACGTTGATGTTACGTATTAGAGTCCTGCCTTAACATAAATATCTGTTTCTGATACTGTATTTTTAGAAGCATTGTGAAGATTGTTGTATATACTTAAATTGTATAAAATATCAAAGAATTTAGAATACATTTAACATTTTGAGGAATTGCCTATTAACGTGATTTTCATTCTAATTGTATATATTTGCTTATTTACAAAAAACTTCTGTCTAAAGATTTGATGAGATAACTCCTGCTTGTATACGATTTTTAGAACGCGCGCATCAGAGCCAACTCAAAATTATTGGAAAAAAATTTACAATTTTTTAATTCCTACACTGATGTTGATACTGTGGTGAATTCATTTTACGATAACTTATATGATCTTTTATAAAAGCATGTACATGTGTGTAAGACACATAAACGAAAATATCCCAGTTGGTTCAACTCAGACATCATTAAGGATATAGAATTGAAAGCTAAATATCACAAAAAATATAAGAATACAAGTTGCGAGTTTTATTTAAACACACGCTATGTACGCACCGAATATAAACAGCAACTGTCGGCGTCGGCGTGCCGGCGATATCCCGAGCATGAGTTCTATCCTGTCGAATCCTACACTTATTAGTAGTTTCATGGCCGAATGATCAATAGCAACTGGAACGCTTAGGCGGCTGCTGCTTTGCCGCGCATCTTTGTTGTGCCGGGGCGTAAATGCACTACGAATGGGGTATAGGATCCCTGGGAAAATTTTCTTAGATAAATAAACTTTTTGACCCTAGTGATGCTATGAATGCCTTCAAAATATTTTTTCAGTAGGTTTACACAGCAGATTCAAATGATACATTTAGTGGCAATAGTTGTGTAACCGATCTCCCAGTTATCAATATTGAAAACTTTACTGAAGATGAAGTTAATGATGCAATCCGAAGATTGAAAAATAAAATGACATATGGTCCTGACAACATGCCTTCCTTTTTGGTCAAAGATGTTCTCGTGTTTTAGCCACGCTGCTCACCAAAATTTTCAATTAATCGCTTAGGCCTGGCAAATTTCCGAAATTGTGGAAACATGTCAGAATCTGTCTTATTTTTATAAGCAGGTATAAAGCCAGTATTGAAAATTATACAACGATCTGGTAGGAATTACATTTCAACAGACCAACACGGCTTTATAGCTGAAAGATCTACAGTGACCAATCTATTTATTATTGTGCAATACGTTCCAGAAGTCTTGGACGAACAAGAACGAAGCTTTTGACAAAGTCTCCCACAAAAAACTATTATCAAAGCTTTCTGGCTATGCAGATCTTTTCAAATTATACTTACCAGATAAGTTTCAATTTGTGTCATATCATGGATATAAGTCAACCCCCATTTTAATTACGTCTGAGGCCTCTGCTATTCATTCTGGATATTAATGATTTGTTAGTGGCGGTTAAGGATTTATGTTTTGCGGACGATCTCAAAATTTTTTCAAGAATTAATGAGGTCAAAGGTTACCACTTACTGCAAAATAGCTTGGCTGTTGTTCAAAACTGGTGTAATTAGAACAAACTTTTTCTCAACGGCCAAAAATGCAAAGCCGTCTCATATATGTAGTACAAGAAACACTGTTATTAATTTCAAGTACTTTTAAAGATGTATGGATAATTTTTAGATCCAAGCTAACGTTTGCAAACCATGCTGTGCAAAAGTGACTGAGGCTTTGAAACTTTATGGGATTATTTTGCGACTGTTATCAAGGTTTTGTTCAAGTTGTTTCGACGTCCAAAGCTAGGATTTGGTTGTGTCATATGGGATCCTTTATATCATCGCTGCATCATTAAGGGTTGAACGTAAATCATTGAAAGATTTGGCTTTTAAGGTAGATGGAACTTGTTATAGCATCTCTTTCCTGTCTGTGCAAAATATTACATAATAGCATTGTTCTCCCATCCTATGGCAAATAAATTTTTATCTTCCTATATTCAGTAGTAGGCAAGTATTACGTTTAAGAGTAGTAGGCCAAGGACCAATATCTTGCATATAATAATTTCTGATTTCTCTGAATTAACCTGAAAATGGTTAGCTGTTGGACAATAAAGCTTTTATTATTATCATCCGCAACAGCTAGTATGTTTAGTAAACAATATCTTGAGATAAAGGGGTGGAGGAGACGTGGCTCGAATCCCGCTGGCGCTAATTATTCCTTTCTCTCAAGCTGTTGTTTACTAAGCACGGTAGTGCCATAGTGAGTGCCCACGAGGCAGCATGGTGCAACTAGAAAGCGATTGGAAATACCAATCCGGCTTGTATCACTTAAAGTCCTCCAGATGGGGCATCAAGCGGCCTGAAAGAACAAAGCAACATTGGCGTAAGAAGATTTCAGTTTGTATCAATCCTAAAAATGGTTTGGCAGCTGGTGGTGTAGACTAATTGGTTGGGTCCACGGAAAGGAAGAGATGCGGGTTCGAATCCCGACGGCGCCCATTTTTTCTCTCTCTCAGGTTGTTGTTTACTATAACTCCTCCACAACTTCGGTATTTTCTGGACAGCATATTAAAATCACATTAGACGGCAAACACATATTTATAGGTTTTCATGACCCAAACACATACAGGTTTATTTGTTATCCCTCTGCTAAACTGTATCATTTATAGTTATTAACTTGGGTTTTATTCCTTTGCAACCTATAATATATTTACCGACACAGTGTAGAATACTTAAAATTACTGTTTTGTTGCTACAATATTGTAGAATTTTAAACGTGTTTTCCATCAGCCATGTATTCTGGATAATGACGGTTTTTGAATACACAGGTTAATAACAGCTTAACGCTCATTAGAGGTGTGATGTTACTCAAGGGACGCATTCAGGTAATGGCAGCCATCTATGTTACTTAACCCTTTGCGGCATGCTGTTCCTCTGGGACGACCACCAATTCATGGTCAATTTACTTCACTGCCGATACAAATGATAAGAAAATGACAACTACCGGTTGCCCATGAGTTAAGGTTTTTCTTTAGCTGCAATGAAATTTTAACAAACAAAATATATCAGCTCGTGAGAACTGGAGGTATAATCTAGTGGAGCCGCCCCACATTATCCACGGACTGTTCCTAGAGGGTTCTTCTCTAAACCAGTCTGCGCATTGACGAGTCGTCGGCGATCTGTCTCTCTTCTATCGATAGGTAAGCAAAATTGATATGCAGAGCTCTTCTGTATAACGCCGCCGCACGACGAGTCTGCCATACATACCCGTCTGACTTCCTAGCCATCCTAACTTCCTACAGCCAGAACTACCCGGTATAATCGTTTCTTTGTGCCTAGGGTGTCGAGATTAGGAACAATCTGCCCGATGAGGCTTTTCTCAGTTCTACTAACCTTTGGCACTTCACAAATCGGATACACAATGCGCCTTCAAGCCCCTTATATCAGCCGCCGTTCCTGTCTACGCGACTACTTCGGTATAAAGAGGGTATAACTTTGCTAGATGTTATCAAATAAATAATGGAACGATTTAGTTGACTAGTCATTTGAAGTTAACAGTATGGTGTAGTATAAGTTTAATTCAAACTTTCATTTTCCCCGTATATTGATAAGAGGGATGTCTTTTAAGTTTTGCATATGGAAATAAAACAACACGGTAGGTAGTTTTAAATGACTTCATTGTTTTTCGAAGTATTCTCCACGAAGATACATACACATCTGCATGCGCTCGAACCAATTTTCAAAGCACTTATTCCACTCGTTTGCTGGCAGATCCAAAACGGCATTTTTGAATGCGTCAACCGCTTCTTCTGGTGACTGGAACCTTTGACCACGCAGTCTGTTTTTAATTTCCGGCAAAGTAAAGAAATCGTTAGGACTTCGATCGGGACTATATGGAGGATGGTCCAATAATTCCACGTTTTCTTCCGTTAAATAATGCCTTGTTTTTTGGGCTGCGTGCGAGCTTGCGTTGTCTTGGTGGGGGATGATTCTTCTTTCGGGGTTGACTTTTCGATGCTCGGTGATGACTTTTGGCAAACAAATGGTGGTATACCAATCCGCAGCAACAGTTTTTTGCTCATTAAGAGGAATTGTTGCAATATGACCCGCTTTTGACACAAATGTTTCGACCATCTTTTTCGAAACATTTCGAGAACGGATGACTTTTGTTGGCTTCTCTTCACCTTGGAACACCCAAACAGCCGACTGTCGTTTATTTTTTGGTTCATAACAGTAAATTCACCATTCATCACTACTAACAATGCTGTACACATTTTTTGAGTTTCCGGAATTGAAACGGTCAAGCGTATTTTGACACCAATTAACCCTGGCTGCTTTCTGGTCATCAGTCAACAGATCAACGAGAAACTAATTTTCTTACTCCTAATTCTTCATGTAAATTTTCTAATGGCATGGTGACACTTAAAAATTCACTGTAGTGAGAACACTACACGTATTGTTGTGAACCTTTGAATTTAAGTTTGCTAAAGAGTGAGGTTAAGATTCAGTACTGACGTTCGATCCCCGCGGCCTACTATGTTTCTATATGCAAAACTTAAACATCAAGTCAGAGTTACCATTGGTGCTACCTATGATGAGTCTGTGGAAGCTTCATTCGCGTTCTTGCTCTAACTTAAGGGCACAGGGAAAGAAAGATGAATGTCACAAAAATAAGTTTCGAGAAAAGTGAATTGAAAAGTTTGAAGACTCATAGAATCGTTGTACAAGGTGGGTCAAAGATCTGACGGAGTACCATAAATTCCTTATTATAAGAAATTGAAAAAAAGTTAATTTAATAAATAAAAAAATATTTTTTGACATACAGGGTAACCCAAAATGAAAGCAGACCAAAAATTTTTTGATGGAATATCCTTTTTATTTTTGTGTTTTGAGATTCTCCTTATGAATTTAAGCATTTTTTATGTCTTAGCATCCAAGCCTTAAATTTTGATATTGAGATAACGAGGTTAGAAATGAGTCTTTTCTCATATGCGGCACACTGTAAAAGCTAAGGGTTGATTAAACAGCAAAATGCCTATATTAGGTTCTACGATCTGTTCTAATATGAGAACTACCTTAACAGGAAATTTATCACACAGAGCCTAGAACACGAGAAAACAGATCAATAGCTCAAACAATTACTTCTAAATAATTTTTTGATTTGGACAGGAAAAGAACGATGAACCAAAATATATTCATTCAAAAGAATATAGAACAAACAAAACAAAATTGCAGATTGGTGTTTGGTAAAATGTTGTAGTTGCTACTAGTTTCGATGTGAGATTAATTTTTTCTCCTGCACGGCATGAGATTTTACTGTATTTAGATTACATGTTGCCAGTTCTAAATACAAAATACCAAATTTGTGACATTCATCTTTTTCCCTTGTAGCCTTCGTCTGTGTTTCTCTCTATGTCGCACTAAATACGCGACATCAATCATTCTTTTCCGATCCTGTATGTTATCGCAATGTAGTTTCGCCAAAGCACAGTGCCCGAAAGCGGAGCGCCGTTTCCTATTGACTTAATAAAATATAAAATGTAGCTAAAAGTACCTTTCAAAAATGTATAACGTTTGCTTGGTAATGTTGGAAAGTATTGCCGAAAAAAAGGATTACGTTCCGTATAGGTTTGTTAGTCTGAGCTGGCTAGAAACATGTATAACAACTGCATCAAATGCATCAAGTCATCCAAACAGGTCCATACAATTAGTCCATGATCCACAGTCCCCACCCATTTGGCAATGCTAACGCTAGTTTCCTGTTTCTTCCCTGCCCTAAGTACATATGACCCTCTGGCAACGGTACTAAACTACACCAGTCAAGTCAACCATGCCATAAGTGCCAGCTACAAACCAAAACTACAGACGTTTTCAGAATCTGGCGCATAAAGGTTGCCATCGTCCCAACCGGCCGTGTCTAATTTTTAAGGGCAAATTTACGGGAGAAATCTAGAATACGTGAAATCTGTACTGTGCCACCGACACTGGTCCTTGTTTCAAAAACTTTTAAGCTTTTTCGACCTTGGCATGGTAGTTATCTCTGTGAAAATTTAGGATCAGAGAACATACAGCCAGACCGAAGGAAATTAGTAACATGGGAAGTGAAAATATGTTAGGTGCCAAGTCCCCGAGTCCTCAATTACAGAACAATCTACCCAAGAAGGTTTCTCCCAGTTCGGCTAACCTTAGGCAGTTAAAGAATCGGATTAACAAACTTTCTTTAAGCCCCTCATAACAGCCGCGTCACCCTGGCATTTAGGCTTCTGCCTGCGCGTTAAAAAAGATTGGATATGAACCAAGACGCGCTTAGCTTCAGAACAGTTTGATATTTTGCTACCATAACTTACTACAATCTGTTGTTTTACCGGCAACAATAACTGTCAAATGAGCAAGAGGTTCAGGGACGGAGCATGGGGAATGGGGAAATGGGGAAAGACCCTCATACACAAGGACGGACTTAGGAATCTGCCCATAAGGGCGCAACGTTGGTTATCTGCGATCAAAAATTGTAGAGCGGGGGGGGGCTGCCTATGCTTGGTGACTGAGGAGGGTCGAATACTTCTAGGGGAAAGGGCATAACTTACCAAGATAATGTTATACTTCGGCGTCTGGGGTCTCGCTCCACCCTAAATCCGCTCGTACATGACTAGATATTTTTTGGATGTAGATAAGCATTGAATCGCTCAGTTTTTAAATGTTTGCATAGAATATATCCCGTTTACACTATACAACTCTAGCAAACATCCTGCACAATGCGTACTGCATGTACCGCGAGTATGACAAATTCGTTTTGCCGCGGCGTTATTGTCTCGATGTTTACCCAACAATTTTTTCTATTTTTCACGCCCGCCGCCCCAGTTATAAACGATCTGTATACAAAAGGAATTTTGAAGTTTATGCAGCTGCCGGTGAACTGCATTGTGACGTCCCAATAAAAAAATGAACGGGTTGGGGGTGCAAATGATATATGGTAGACGGTGGAGGTCTATGACATGGGGAATTATTTATTTTGATACGTTGGTGAACAGGATACAATTAATGTAGCATTTTCAATTGAAGTGTTAAAGCACCATTTATATTGACTTTTATACGAAGAAAACCATGGCGTCAAATATGGTCGGCAAAAATTAGCGCCCCTAGAAAATCTGACTAACCAGTACTCACTAACATTCATGTTGGCTAACAATGTTCCCAGGATGGCGGCTGCATTACTTACATTCGATACATGTACTATAGAAGCGTAACATCACCAGTAACAGCGACTAATATCTTCGTCGGGCTGAATGCGGGTATTGAACGTCTTAAGGACAAATTATAGGAAAGTCTGTGTGAAATGTCTTAATAGGTGCGTAGCTTTGCCGGAGTTAGAAGGGTATAAATACACTAATCCCTCACCTCCAATTTTTTACATCCCATGTCCCAGTCCCAGTCTGTTCGCCAATCCTTGGCCCGTCTGTAACTTGGGAAATACTAGACGAGTTCTAATGACCCTTCCACACAACGTTACTACTATACCAAGGACGAAAGAGCTTTATAGTTTTTGAAAATCAGTCCCGCGGTGCCGGAGCTGTAAGCAAAAGAATAAACATACTCTTTTTTGACATTTTTTGAGTTTTTGTAGAGGTTAAAAATTAGAGGCTGGGGGTTATAAGGGATGGGGGACAGAATGTCCTTTTTTTGCGTTAGTATATTTATGCGTTTCCAACTCCAGCAATTCTACGCACTTATTAGACATATGTCACATATCATGCATTTCTCCATCCGTCTATAAATTGACCCTGCTCTAACTTTTTTATATAATCTTCTAAAAGAAATGTTGTATGAAGAAGTTATAGCGTCTAGTATGAGGTTCTTCGTATAATATTTTTCTACCAGGGTGTCTCAGAAAGGTGCTGTCGCAAAAAGCTGTATTTTCTTCAATGGAACACCCTGTTTATTTTCAGTGAAAATAATAGTGCCTTTTTTTATTCCAAAGACCTATATATGGTTTGTTTAACTAATTTGCATTGATTTAGTCAAAAACATGAAGTTTGTGTGTCATATATATATTCTGATGCAAGCTGGTTCGATCTCGGATACACATGAGTGAACGATAAACTTTGAGTTATTGACCTAACGAACGAAAATAAGTACTGTAAGCGATATATATTTTGAATTAAAACAAGGGACTTTTATTTTGTCTGAAACAATATCGTATTCCATTTAAAAAATACAATTGTATTCGATAGTACGTTTATGAGACAAATTCAAACAAAATATTACTTTAGGAACATAATGTTAGACCCTATAACTTTTATACAGCTTTCTCTTAAAGAAGTTTATATAATAAAGTTAGAAGGGGGATCAATTTAGAGCCTTTAAATTTAGAATGTTGGAAATATTTTAACACAAGCGTATACGTATCTGAGTCGTGGACTGCTCAATGCATAGATAGATAGATAGATAGATAGTTTATTGTCCTATTAGATCATGTTACATGATATAAGATATATATGCGTTTGAGCAAATATGCCATAAAAATACTTATAATTATAAAATAAATAAGAACATTACAATTACAAAACTTTTAACAGGTTAAATCACATTATAGGTTCAGCGCAAGAATCGTAATGTGTTCAATCTGTAACGGTAAAAATATATACATATACAGCGACTTCTTTTATCACAAAAAATGTTCGTCTAGCCGGTAAAAATCATTGAAGCTGATACAAAGAAAAGGGAGAATCTGTTAGAAATACATAATATATAAACACAATAAACATATTATACAGAGTGAATTTGAACTAGGAGTCGCTACCAAGAGCCTATATCGCAGGTGGCTGGGCTTTTCGAAAATTTCACCTTGAAGTGACCTCACAG